ATATGCAGTTTGGTCCAACCTGTTAGCAGCATCCTATAATTGTAGACGCATCAGTATCTATAGGATTCGCTGTTTCGTCTTTTTCTTTTTCATAAAGAATCGTTTGCTACTTTTCTTTTTTGTATGATCCTAGTTCGTAGTCAGGAACATCGAGACAAACTTCAAGACTCGCCTTAGAAAAGCAAATCAAGCCCTCTCGTAGACTCAGCATGAACAACACCTCAATTATCCGGCCTCGAAAGAATATTTCGTTGCCTGGATTGTTAATTCGTTCTCGTTTGGAGATAAGGTTCTGATAGTCCATTGCTCCAGTGAATACACTTGACTACACTTATCGCTGTACACATACACCTCCACCTACACATGCACACAACAGCGTATGCATTCACAAAGTGCCTTGCGGACACCCGGTGGACCCGACCTCTCAGCGCACCAGCACAAAAGCAGCCAAAGTGAGCGAGCAAACAAGAAGAGACCAGCCGTGGTTACGGGCTCATCAATCACGCATAGAACAGGTTATTTCAAAGGACTGACAAGGCGACTTACGACAAAGCAACCACAGCTCAGTCTGGGACACAGCCGGACCACGTGCTCTCTCCAGACAAGCATGCGCACATGTGGATATTGTTGGCTGTCTGCTAGGCATGTGCATGTTCATCTAGGCGTTGAGTTCATCTGTGCTCCTCCTCCCGAGGCTCTATCGACCGGGCGGCTCAAAAACGGGATGAGCAAGAGCACACTGGAAGAGTACCATGCAACAGGACGGACAGACTTCTACACTCCATCCAGTGGAATTTGACCAAAAGCGGCGACTACCAACCAAACCCAGTCGTCATACACCTTTTGCTGCAGCCATCGGCATTTGACGGAGCCAGAGTGAAGTTATTGCAACCTTGGTCAACCCAAGCGGACCCGATTGTGGTGGAATCTGCTTTTTCTAGACTGTGCATGCGTTGGCCGCTTGCTGAGGTGTCTGTAGGCGCCGCGATGGAGGGGAAGCCCAACCAACATGTTTGCTAGACACCTTTAGAAGCCAAATTTCTTGTCAATTTTCTTATCATCTGACCAAATGAGTAGGTAAGTAGGAGAGCCTGTGGATGCGCTTCTCTGCGTGTGAGTCTGTCACGAAAGTACCAGAGGAAGGAGGCGACCGAAGGGAAACTGGTTGCGAAGGGTGAGCTGGTATAATGGATTGCCAGTGGATATCATTGCTGTGGTCAATTACGTTGCAGAACCCACTTTGGGGCTAAACAATAACAGAAAGAAATCCTACATTTTGTGGAGAATTTCATTTTGTATGAAAGTTGAAGATGAAGAAATTCATAGGTACATCTCATTGGAAGACGACGGCTGATATGCGTTTTTATGCAGTCGTTAACTTCAATACGAAGTTCCTATTGGCGTAGTCCACGTAGCATCCTCCCTTGGTTTGAATGAAAACGGGTCGAGCTTTTATCCCTATTCTCGAAAAAGCTTCAAGTTAGCACAACGTCCAGACGACTATCCGATTCTACTTATGTGAAGACTTTCATTTGTTACCGAAGTACACGATGAAGAGATTCGTAGTTCGAACTCACCAGAGGACGTCGGCTGATTCGGGTTGTACGACGTTCAGGTTTGTGCAATCCACGAGACATCCTCCCTCACTTTGGGTGAAAATGGTCTGAGCTTTCGTCCATCATATGATGGACATCACCAGAGCTGAAACTTATTCTTGCAAAAGTCTCACGATAACACTAGGTCAAGAAGACTATCCGGTTCTATCTTACCTTTTATATAGGCTTGACTTAGGGCTAACTTGAGTCTTTTGCAAGAATGACGATGATCGTAACATGACGGACAGAAGCGAAGGAAATATTGGAA